CAAGTTTGTTCAAATAAAAGCCCTGGGGTGAAAATTGGCCCGGCCCCGGGGGGTCATTGATTTTCCCTATATGCATATAGTAAAAACTTAAAAATCTTCTTTTAAAGAACTCAAAGAGCTATGGCTAAGATATTGAGCATCAAACATGTTCTAATAGGTGTCTACCAAGTTTGTTCAAATACAAGCTCAGGGGTCAAAATTGGCCCCGCCCCGGGGTTCATTGATTTTCTTTATATGTGTTTAGCAAAAACTTTAAATCTTCTTTGAAAAAACCCAAATAGCTAGAGTTTAGATATTAAGCATGAAACATCTTCTAGTAAGTGTCTACAAAGTTTGTTCAAATAAAAGCCCTGGGGTCAAAACTGGCCCGGCCCCAGGGGTGTCATTGTTTTTAACTATATGTGCATAGTAAAAACTTTAAAAAATCTTCTTTTAAAGAGCCCAATGAGCTAGAGCTTAAATGTTTAGCATGAAACATCTTCTTATGGGTGTCTACCAAGTTTGTGCAAAATAAAACCCTTGGGTTAAATTGGCTCTGCAACGTTGGGGGGGGGTGTTGGGGGGGCCTATATACAGGTGAGCGACCTCAGGGCCATCATGGCCCTCTTGTTTGCTATTAGTGGCTATATACATTTGTCATTTTTGAATAAATTGTCTTCAAATTTGAGCATAATAATCTTTAAGGATAGCCCTACAAGTTTCCAAACAGACCTTGAACTTGACTCATGACTGACCTTGAGATTTACCCTTGTCTGTGTGTCCATCCATCCGTCCATCCGTTCTCTTTTGTGTCGCACGTAACTCAAAAAGTATTTGACATAGAGTCATGAAACTTTACAGAAAAGTTGATCTGAGCATGTGAAGTTGTGCACCTGGGTATTTTCGAGTTGATTTATTTAGTATTTTTAGAGTTATTGGCCTTGACTTAGAAATTTTTTGTAATTTTCAATTTGTGTCGCATGTAACTCAAAAATGATTTGACACAAAGTCATTTAACCTTACAGGAAGGTTGCTCAGCATATGTAGTTGTGCACCTGGGGTTTTGCTTGTGGATATTTCCAATATTTGTAGAGTTATTTCTCTTGACTTAGTAAAAACCGTTTCATTATGTTGTTATTTGTTCATTGAGTGCTTGAGTTAGAGTCAACCAACTTTAAAGTAATGATCAACATCACTAAATTACAGGAATAATGATCAACTTTGCATGTGAATTTTAGCTCACCAGAGCTGAATGCTCAGGGTGAGCTATAAGTATCAAAGGGGGATGCTCCGGCATCCATCATCCGCCGTCCTGCGTCAACAATCGTCTTCTTCTACTAAAACTATTAAGCTGTTGTACTTCAAATTTGGTCTGTAGCATCCTTGTGACAGTCACACTTGAATTTGCTCATGTCATTCCAAACAAATGTCAAAATGGTTTCTGCTCATTATCTTGAAAATTATTTATCACAAAGTCTACATATTTCACATAGTGATTGGTCATAAACCATCTATTGCAAGTTTCTTTCAAATAATACAATTAACAAAATTACCAATAATATGAGTCAAGGGCATATGTGTCTTTTGACATTTCTTGACTTATGAAAGTGTGAATATGAATTATCTGCTTCTTTTAAGGAACAAAATGCTTAATTAAAAACGTGTACATGTATTTGGTATCTTAGAACTATCTGCACTATTAAGTCCCTTATTAAGGTATTGTTGTAAATTATTATTTTCAGAACTACCCAAGATATTCATTTGAAATTTAACACATGCCTTGATAGTGAAAATTGTGGCTGACTTACAATCCATAAGTCTGGTATAGATTTTCATGTAATACAGTCATGTTATAATTCCCATTTGTGGATTATGAGATTTCCTAAACAAAATTCTCGTTAAATTATAAAAGTGTGTACTGTTTGTTAATTGCCGAACCAGAACTATATTGTATACATATATGTATTTTGTTAGATTGAAATGTGCTCTGTTTTTAAGAAATAAGACATTTTTTTATAAGTAAACCAAATTTGAGCCACGTCACGACAAAACCAATATAATGGGTTTGCGACCAGCATGGATCCAGACCAGCCTGCGCATCCGCACAGTCTGATTAGGATCCATGATGTTCGCTTACAGACCCTATAACAAGTCAAGAAACTGATAACGAACAGCATGGATCCTGATCAGACTACACAGATGCGCCGGCTGGTCTGGATCCATGCTGGTCGCAAACCCATTTTTATGTTGGTTTTGTCGTAACACGGCTCATTTGTTTTAAATTTATCCATAGCATTGCATAAGAAATGCTTGTAATTCTAGTGGTTTGTTACAAATTTATTAACAATGAAACATGCAGTTAACTGAGTCATATGAGCCGCGCCATGACAAAACCAACTAATGCATTTGCGACCAGCATGGATCCAGACCAGCCTGCGCAGTCTGATCAGGATCCATGCTATTTGCTTACAAATCCTATAACAAGTAGAGACTGATAGCAAACAGAATGGATCCTGATTAGACTGAACGGATGAGGTGTTTGAAAAATGATACCTATGATTATGTTTTTATCCACTACTCTGTATGAAACTACACAAGAATTACTAATATACAGATGTAGCTAGGTTAATAATTCATGTTAATAAAGGGTGTAAAATTATTTTTGTATTTCGACAGCTCATGCGATACGAACTTTACAATTCATTTCAACATCACTGAAAATGATATATTAAAAACATTGATACACTCTTGGTTTCGATAAGGAAAAGGTAGGCCTACATGCAATTGACATTACTCCGCCTGTCAATCAAGCTGGCAGGGGTCTTACAGATAAGCCAATCGGCGATCGTTATCAGTTTCACACTAAGATATCTGAAAAATCCATTTTCCTTAGACAAGCTATTTGTATAAGACAATGGTGCAGCAGTATTTATGTTGAAATTATTTTGATTTTTTGTCAATTTAAAGCTATTAAAGCGGTATATCTAAGTTACAAAATATCCTGACACATTGACTGATGAAGTCAGTTAGTTCATTTTACAAAAACAAAAACATCAGTAACATTCTATATATGAACATAATAAGTTAAATAGCAGGTACGAAAGTTAAAACTGGCTATACCACATTGTATTAAACAATGAAAACGTTTAAACAAATACTCTATTCCTTCCTTTATTACAATTATGTCTATTCATAATCACATAATATATTATAAGGTCTCCGAATATCCAGATGATATGACATTTTTTGTTCGTTTACAACATAGTGTCAATAAAATGCTGCAGTAGAAAAAAGTACTTGCAAAAAAAATGAGAAATGTGCAATAAATATTTTAGGTGAAATTATCCTACCTAAATATTTCTGTTTAAGCTCAATGAATTTAGATTAAATATTTAAATACATCTGCTTCAGTAACATCATATCTGACCAAAGCCGAGGTCTGGTATATGCAAAACTTATTTTGAAGTGAATAATAGTTCGTTTTATCACGAAAATATCTAATGTACAAATATACATATAATCATATATCGTACAACAAAGTTATGCAAGGGCAATTTTCTCATTTATGCACAAATCCATTACATATAAATGATTTAGCACATAAAAACCCAAAAACATTTGTAAATGTTACTGTTTCATTGATTCGTAGGATTTATTTCATTTGTGAGTTTAAAATTTCTTAATGTTTGATATTTGCTGATTATTTATTATTTAAAGATTAAATGTGTAGCTAGTCTTTTGTGTAACTTTTATGTAAACTGTCTGTCTTAACCATATTTAGTATGTTGTAAATGGTCGAAGGCATTTATAATGCCGATTTGCCAATAAATGAAATGAAATGATATAATTTTACTATTATATGTACCGCTACATCAATTTTAACTATCTTTGAATTTGTAAAGTAAAATGATATTTTGTCAGTAACATTTTCCTTGAAGTCAGCGAGAAATATAACAAGATCTTTGCCCAACGTTTTATTCATCATTAATGCGTGAATGCAGTTATTTGTTACTTTTTTAAATATCATAAAACATTGAACTATTCAATAAAAGCATTAAAAATTATGTATATATACCAAATTATATAAGGTAAATTCACTTAAGTGGCATGACAGTTTCGCGTAAGCGTCGGTACCGTCTTTGGTCTGTTAAGGTTCTGAATCACTGCCCAGGTCATGTGAATCAGTGGGCGGAGCAATCTCTTGTCTGGCGTCATGTCAATTACAAATTAATGATCCTTTGGCAATATGCATATATACAAATTTTGTATAATGAGTTGATGTCTTGTATCCTTATACATAATGGAATGTATTGTGGTTATTTTGAAAAGAAAGTATAGACTACGAATGAGATCTGGCTTCTAATTTCGTGTGTTTCAAGATAGTAGTCTTTAAAGAGAAGACATTTACTGGTTTATGTCGTCAACGATACTTTTGATAACGTAAACAATTTCACAGCTATCTATACAAATGTTTTCATAGCATTGCCACATTATTTAGGCATGACTTGCACACACACATATGTATTAATTAATGTCTCTTGCGCAGAAAAGTTGTCTTTTGCATGCAGCAACCGGAATACACCGACATTTAACGCTGTTCCTCAGCTTACACTAATTCTATGTTTCCAATAGATGTCATTACATCTCCAATACTTTCCATCGGATACAGTTGTTGGTAATTTGACAACTTAACTTTTTATTCAGTTTTATTGTTTGGGTACGCACGGCACACCATAACAATTTTTCTTTGACGTCATTTTACTCCATTCTGTCATGACACACAGCACGCGTAATGTATTGCATATGACGTCCGATTTTTTAAGGATTTGCATTTGTACAATTATTATTTCCATTGTTCAAGCGGCGTATCTATGTACCTGCGTTTGTATTCAATTCGTTTTCATGTCCAGTCAAAACTCTTGCAGTAAATACAAACCCCTTTGTGTTAGAAGCAACTTTTTTAGAACCTTTTTATTCTATTTCATTCATTTTCATCAACCTGTTGATCTTGAATAAATTCAATTCTAAAAATTAAGCAATCAGAAAAACACCAGAAAAATATACAATAATTTACACGCATATCGTAACGAAGCATTCAGTCATCTTTTTCCATATTTCATTGTCAAATCGATATTGTAGAATATACAAAAGTGATATAACATAAGGTTGTGAGCCATATGTATATGCTTTCATACAATTTGCATCTGGCGCATTGACTTTAGTAACAAATAGATGGAACGAAAATAACTGTTTTGTATCAATGAATATTTCAAAACCGGTCCGTCCCTGCAAGTTAAAGAGTTTACCAAAGATTCCTAATCTTATATAGTGCACAATGATAAAGCATCATGGATTTTTGTCAGAAATTCTGAAATAACTTTAATTAAATATATCACCTGGAACCACAAAGAAGAAATTTAAACGAAGAAAGTAGCAGAGAACGAAAGTAAACTGCCAAATGGAGATACAGTTTGTAGGGAAAAGAGCCCTCGTTACTGGAGCTGGGAAAGGTATGTGAGATCAAGATAATAGATCACATCTTATAGTTTCTTTTTTTTCTTATTCTCGTTTGTTTCCTTTTTCAATTTTAATGTAAGTTAGGTAGATAATTGATAGAAATACTTCATGGTTTTAAGACGTATGATTCTCGGCCTTGATTTCCTTACGCACGCATATCTTATACATGTATATTCTATTTGAAATATGTAACCGGCATGCCTCATTGGGGAACTTAGTTTTTATGATTCGCTTCTAAATATATAATAATAAAGTTAGCTCTTCAAGTGCTATATTTGTCTTAAGTTTATTCGTTACATTAATTTATAACAGCAATTGTAATTGTAGGAATTGGGAGAGACATTGCTAAGCGTCTTGTAGAGCTTGGTGCTGATACGGTTGCGTTGAGCAGAACACAGTCTGACTTGGACAGCTTGAAAGCTGAAGTAAGACCTATTTTCAAAATGTTAACATCTGTTTTAAGAGCAGATAGTCCAATGTATTTAATTAAAACAAACTAAATAAAGTGAATTAAGATTTGTTTTCTCTATCACATGCCGTGCAAGTGAATTTAGCTTGTTTAGAGTGATAGAAACCTTCCAAATAAATATCGTTTTTGCAGTCATTCGATCTCGATCAGTTGGCACGCACAGAGCTACAGTAATAAAAATGCTAGATGTGTAAATTATTAAAAATGTATGTTGTTGAATCCAAACAGGTTCCCGCAATTAAAATAGTACAATGTGATTTGCGAGATTGGGACAGAACAAGAGAAAGTTTACAGACCGTGGGTGACATTGATTTACTTGTAAACAATGCTGGAGTCAGTAGAATTGGTCCATTTTTAGACGTCAAAGAAGAAGACATAGATTGGTAATCAAAATGAATTTAAAGTAGAAATTAAAAAAAAATCTTCTCAAGAACTACAAGGCTTAGAGCATTGATATTTTGCATAAGGCATTGTCTGGTGGACCTCTCTTAAGAGTGTTCAAATTATAGCCATAGGGTCAAAGTTTGCAACGAAAATAAATCTTATGATTTCGTTTAAATATTTTTATGTTTTATTATACGAATTGTACTTATACTTCAATGTTTTAGATATTTTGTTAGCTGACCTCATTGAAACCTATGAAGTGTCGAATTAGTGATGTTATTAATTTCAAGAAAACCATCTCCAAACAACTTTAAATTGTAAAATTGATAAACATATAAATAAATAAACGTGCTTGTTGTGTTAGAAGTGTCTTTTAGTGTACATTTTTTTTTGGGAAGCTAGTTTTTAAAATAATGTTTTAGTTGTACATTTTATTTTCACAAATAATTTTATTGTAGGATGTTTGATATCAATTATAAAGCAGTGTTTAATGTTGGCCAGGTACGTTTGAATAATTAATTGTATACGTTTATATTATTTTATTTTTTATCTTCGTTTCAAAACGGTTTATTTTCATGTCTTTAAACTGACTGATCAAAATAAAGGTGTTAGTTTAAAAATATAAATTGATAAAAATATAATTATCATTTCTGTCAATAACAGTTATATTTAAAACAAAAACCTTGAACAGATTTTAGTTTTTTTTTCAAAATGGACATTTATGAAATGCTTAATAAAATGATTGACCTTTAGGAATATCACTTCGGAAGTATATATAATATTTGTAGGTGATTTCACGATCAATGGTGGATAGAAAGACAGGCGGGGCAATAGTGAACGTCTCTAGTGCATCTACTTTCCATGGACTAGAAGACCATGCTGTATATAGTTCGACAAAGGCCGCTGTTGATAAATTGACACATATCATGGCCCTTGAACTGGGGAAACACAAGGTAGAATACCTGTATATCATTCAATGTCATTCAATGTCAGTGTATTAATAATATATCCAAGCAAGTATCCGGGAAGCTTCGGAATGTCACCAAATGACATTAACTGTGTCGGTCTGATTTTTGAGTATGTACATTTTAATAAGATACTCAAAATCTCATTCAAAACATAACAATTAAGAGAGAGAGGTAGAAAGAAAAAAAACATTTGCGATTCATTTACCTATGAAATTATTCATTTTATATCTTAATATTTGCATGAAACGATAAGTTTGTCCAAGTTCTAACTAGGCAGAACCAAAACAACGTTTCGTAAACCAATCTTGGCACAATCACCACAATATACTCTCTAATTATCTGTTTAAATATGCCATGACATCATAATTATATCAAGAAAATTACTTCCAAAATAATCACAATTGAACGTTTGTTTTTCTTAAATATGGTAATATCAGATTCAAAGTGGATTTTAAGATCTGATAAAATTATTTTCACTTTGACATGCACAAGTCATATTTGTACATTGTATTTTGTGTAATTTAGATACGTGTAAATGCAGTAAATCCCACAGTGGCCCTTACAGATATGGGAAAAGTAAAATGGAGCGACCCTATCAATGCCGCACCTATGATCGCAAGAATTCCAATGGGAAGGTTTTTAGGTACGATAACATAATAAATAAATAAATTAATTAATAATTATATATACTTCAATATCTTCACTGATTTGCCTTTTAGCTGTCTATAAAGCAAAACTGTGTGTTTTTTAATGAATATGTTTCTATAGTGATGCTAGTCTGAAGTGAAAGTGCCTCTGTTAACTGATTTTCTGCGACTGCTAAATTGGCATATTGGAGCTGCCCTGGTTTTCATTCTAAGACCGTCCATTATAAATTGAAGGTTTCAATATATAAAAAATTGAGCAGCCATCCTGACAGAGTTTGGTCAGACTACGCATAGATACAGGTTGGCTTAACTTGTTATCTTTGCACAGGTAATTCACCATAGCCTCTAAAACTCTAAGAGTTAAGACAGCTGTTCAAGTTACTGTAACAAAATATCTTCTTATGTAACATGCTCATATTTATTGTAGAAACGACTTTGCTCATTTTGTGAATACCAAATTTAAATAATTAAGAAGAGAAAAGTTATATATAGAAAATAGATGACGCTTCTTTTGTCACAGTTTAAATTATGAGATACTGCTAAATGTTTGATTCATATAATTATTAAGTTTTGTATCGCGGCTTATTGAATTCACGTTTTACACCAGTGTGTTTTATTTTGTGTCACGTCTGTATGTGTTAAAACTGCCTAATATATAATAGCTACTCCATTGGATTTGTTGAAGATCTTGTATTGTCTAAGAGACTGTTGGATACTTTCTTTCTATCTTCTTTGTTGTGCGTCTTTTTCCTATTCAGAACGTTCAAGATTCCTATTCGAAATATGCTTAACTCGTTTATTCATTATCCATGAAACATTTCTTTCAGATGTATCAGAAATTGTGAATGCCATAATGTTTCTTTTGAGTGACAAAGCCACGATGATCCACGGAATTACACTACCAATAGATGGAGGGTTACTTACTACCTAGTGTCATTTATGCGAATTTAATTTCAACAAATTTATATGAATCTTACATGCTGTATCTTTTTTCTAAATTTATTGCTATTTATTATATACTAGTATGAAATTTTATTATAACATGACTAGAATAACATTGGTAGTTTACAAGTATCTGATTAAAATGGAGCAAGTCACTAGATGAATACAGTATTCATGAGTTTTGAAATTGTTTGATATAGGTAAACATTTGTTGACGGTAAAAATTTAAACATATTTTATTGTTGTTGTTTCTTTCTTTCTTTCTTTCAATACAAAACAGATACAATGTCATACGCAAACATAAGACAAACCATTTTCTAATAAATTAACAGAATTTACATGGATACAGTAGTTGTTTATAACGTTGGCCCTTCCAACATTGTCAAAGATGTGCATAACTTAACTTATGTTTTATTTGAAATACAATAAATGATACATATTATCAATCAATATGATATTGTTTGAAAAATAGAATTTGATTACAAAAAAAATTCATATTCTGACAAAACTTGAATTTTAGAAGAAAGAAAGAAAGAAAGAAAGAAAGACTAAGCGAAATAAAGGATGGATAATCACTATGTACAAGTTTCCAACAAATGAACCTTTAATGTTAGCTACTGAAATTACGAATGCATCAATTAATGCAGGTGTAGCCCTTACACTCCGTTCAAATACTTGTAAAATTCAAGCATTTATGCATGAAACAGTGTTTTTTCTTCAAAAGTTTGATGTTAGCTTTGACGGAATGCGTTTACACTATTTTGGTATAGGTTTCGCAAATTACAAGTACATAACACCAATATATGAATACATTCAAACGTATAAATAGAAATAAACAGATATATTTTGAGTTTTTTGTTTTTGTTTTTGTTTTTCTCTTCTCTTATTTTGATGTATCATTTACTAATCGTGTGTTAGTATCATCAACGATCGGTAATAATTAGGGATGGCAACGAGTAACCGGTTAACCGAGTACTCGATCGAACGTCCGAATATCGGTTAACAAAATTGATATTCGATTTCTCGGAAAAAATATTGAATTTCTATTTTTTTTTTGCGATTTAGAAAGATTGGTGTATCCAATTAGTTCAGAAATTTGGAGATGTACATGTATCTGTATAAATACTTGTTAAATGCAATCAGAACATCCTTGCATGGGTGTGAAAATGATATCGTAAATTTAACGAGGCGATCAGCAGTTTGACACGCGTAATGGGATTGTTCAATTTCAATTTCATTTATTCACTCAGATCATACAAACATGACAACATGAGGTAATAATACGTGTACATAATAAATGAGGCTTCAGAATCAGTATCAAAATAACATCATATATAAATTGTTAACATAAATATTGCGGGAGAGTCAGTATTAAAACAAATACTTCAATTAGGTTCTCCACTACATTAAATTTATACAATTTTTGGCTCATTTGAATCTTAATATAATTTCTTTAATAAATAAACAAAGTTTCTTTGTAATCTGGAATGTTAACATCAGTGTTCATAAGAAGATCAATAGAATGTATATTATGTTTCTTTAAATAGTTATGTTTCAAAAAACGTTTTCTGCTGTTATCAAAACAAGGACACTCAAAAATATAATGAAATTCATCACCAATTGATCTATCACACAGTGTACAGACACGCCTGTTAAGTTCGATGTTGTTCCAACTTCCGGTTTCTACTGGCAATTTGTTATTTCTTGTTCTAAATTTTATCATGTATTGTAAAAATTTTGATGGAGTTTTTACAAGATATGTTTCAAAACAAAAATTATGTTTGAATAATCTATAATTTATACATTTACTAGAATTCTCAATATCAGAATACCACTCATTTAAAAATAAATCTGATAATTTTTGTTTGACTGACATCGTTAACCATTTATGGTTATGAAATTCATGGTTATGCCAAATGTTACACAGTCCGCATTCATACAAAATATTCTGAACAAATTTTATCCACTGAAATCTTAATCTAGATACAGTCTGGGAGTTATTAAAATTATTTAACAAAATATGATATATCAAACACGGTAACTTGTTCTGTCGTGGTATGACTAAGTCAGTTCATGTAAATATTGATTGATATTTATATGGTCATTTGTTTTCGGTTCTCAAATGAAAACAAAATGGGACAGAGTTGTTTTAGACTTATATTGGTCTTGCAGCCTATGTCATCTATTTACTGGTAGGACAGCCAACACTTTTGGGTCAATACTTTTTAATTGGTTTCTTTATTTAAGCATTTAGATACGATAACAATGGACATATCCAAATTAAGCCAGGCAATTTCATTTTACAAACGCAGTTAGTTAAAATCCACTTCTCATAAAACAAACAAACTACATATCACATTCTTATTATTCATTTTACACGTGAAACATGTAATACAAATGTTTTCATGAGTACCACAACAAGCACATTTCAGTGTAAAACGATATTTACGCTTGGATTTTATTTTTATTCGCTCTTCATAATACTTTCTTCAGCTGTTACAAAGATTATATAGATTATGTAATCCATACATCACGCCATTAATCAGAAACTGTTACCAAGGCTGTACAAAGATAGCATATATTCAGCTTTTAAGATATGAACTATCGTATAATAGAATGCAAGCATGTGAACAAAGAAATCGATTCTATTAATGAATAGGTGTATGTACTATCAAAAACAAATCAATGATAGAAATATCCTTTCATAACGGGCGAATTGCGATCACAAATATATTCGAATACAAGGTACACAATATAATTGTAATATTTGAAATGATTGTGTCAATGTCTTAATCATACACCATAAAATGTATTGTGACTGCACTAGTGTTTTACTTGTTAGAATATAATTGATTACGAACGAGATTTAATTTCATGTCTCCAAATTTTGAGAATTGGCCCCTACAGAGACACTGATTTTATTGTTGTACAAAGACGTTTGTACAAAGACAAAGAATTTCACACCTATCTACATAGACTTTTTATGCTCCCTGAAAAATTTCGTCCGTCCGTCCGCTTTTCTTGTACGGGACATAACTTTGAAACAACAAGAGGTATCAACATGAAACTTTGTAGGTAGATAGATCTCATTGAGTAGGTAGGTGTGCAGTGCACAAAATCGTAACTCTGCCTTGCCTAATTTTTGAATTATTGCCTTTTGTTTATTTTGACACTTTAGACTTTGTGTAAAGCTATAAAAGGTATCAACATGAAACTTTGTAGGTAGATAGATCTCATTGAGTAGGTGTGCAGTGCATAAGAACCGTAACTCTGTCTTGCCTAATTTTGGAATTATTGCCTTTGTTCACTTTGACACTTTGTCCTGGACATTATTCTAAAATTATAAACTTTGTGAGTAGATAGGTCTCACTGTGTAGAATTGCAGTGCTAAAGAATCATAACTCTGCCTTTCTCACTAACCAGATAGAAAAATCCGTAAATGTTACTAAAAATAGCGGTGTTGGAAAATCTTATCTCACATGGGCTTATCTCACACTCAACGTGCAGCACTTCTAAATAATACGCGATTCACTCCTATTTTAACAAAAATTAAACGTCAAAAGGTCAAAATGTATTAAAAATTTGTAAGCTAATCTATTAAATTGTCTACGGAATCAAAATAGATTGATATTAACTTTCACACTGCAATGAGTCCTACTCTACCTAGATCCGCCCTTTCCAATAACGATCTGTTACTAAAAATAGCACACTTTAAAATATCGAAACGTTCTTCGTAAAATCGAATATTAAGACACTTTGCCTGAAAAACATTCATGTTTTTGTTATGATAACGATGCTTTTTGATGACGAATCTCATTTTGATATATTTTAATTGAATATTCGGCCAAAATATCCGAAAAAGTAGAAAAATCTTTGCAAACGGTAAACGCTTTTTTGTCAACCATTGAAGTATGGAATAAATTCCTTATAAACACTTATATTATGGCACTTTCCGTTTTTAATATCGATGTGTTTCATCATGATAACCTTGCTTTTTCATGAGGGGTCTCATATGAATTTATTTTCATTAAATTTTTCACACATAAACTTGGTCAGAAGAATTTTTTGCGGACGTACATAATGCTTTTTAATCATAGAAAGTCAGGCGCCTAAGCCCTGCCCCCTTTTCAAAACTAGGTACGTTGTAATGGGCGTAGCAAGTAGATTCACTGATATTTGTGTGTTCAGGTGAGTGAGAAAAATAATCAACCATTGGGTTAGATAGAGGATAGGGAAATCCCAACCCTCGGGCAATCGGTTTCATCGGGAACTCGCCAAGGCTCGTTCCCGATGGAACCGATCACCCTCGGGTTGGGATTTCCCTATCCTCTATCTAACCCAATGATAGATTCTATTATGCCTTATTTTGAAGTTGTTGCCCTTTGTTTATTTTTACTTTTTGACTTTTGTCCGGGACATAACTCTAAAACTGTTAGCGATATCAACATGAAACTTTTTTGGTAGATAGATCTCATTGGATAGAACTGTTATGCTAAAGAACCTAAACACAGCCTGGTCTAATTTTGGAGTTATTGCCCTTTGTTCATTTTTACATTTTGAATTTTAGCCGGGACAAAACTTTGAAACTATAAGAGATATCATCACGAAACTTTATAGATAGATAGATCTCATTGAATAGAAGTGCAGTGCAAAAAGCATAACTCTGCCTTGCCTAATTTTGTAGTTTTCGCCCTTTGTTCATTTTTTATACTTTCCTGTGTCCAATATCTTCTCGGGGATTATCATCCGGTTCAACCGGTTCTTGTTTTATAATTTTGCCACTTGTTAAGGCATGACTTTCACACAATGTGACGTCAGCGATAAAAAAATGCGTTTTTTACTCGTAGCAAATATACCTAGCACGTTGACATCAATTTCGCAATTGATAAGAGTTTTTGTCGTTATTTCTCCAATTCATACTTTCCATCGGATCCAGTTGTTAGTTCAGTTTTAGTCCCTTTTTTACCTCAGCAATTCAGAATATTAATCTCCAAGTTTGTAATAAAGTTAACGGTTTCCTTTAATTGATGGCATTTGACTAAGGCAAGGCAGCTAATATACGATTTTAACTCCTGTTTCAATGAACCAAAAACATAAGAAAAAACGTACATTTCTTGAAGAACGTTAATCAACAATCCTATCAAAATACAGGGAAGACCATTTCAAAAACAAAACATCTCTGCAAATGAATTCAAAAACAAGGTGCACAAGTACGGTTTCGTCAACAAAAATATATGAACTCTAATGAGAAGGACTAGTAATAAATAGAGGATATTTGTGAACTTTAAAAACAGTATTCTCACTCGTGACTACGCCACTCGTGAGAATACTATCTTTAAAGCTCATTCGATGAAATAAAATTTCATCTTACACAACAAACAAAGAAATTTTCTTTTTATTTTATGGTTAAAAACAAATTTAAAATCAAAATCTGTTTTCCCCACTGGTAGCCTCATATTAGCCGAATTTCTCATAAAATACAAGCAGTCTTGAGCTGAAAAATAAGTTCGATAATTAACGTTAAATAGCGATGATATTAATATGTATTTTATTAAAAAATATGAATGATCAATTAAAAACAAACAATTCTAGCGGAAGAAAAGGTCTCACCATCCAACCTTATTTCTGTTACTTTACATTAGACCGTGTAATGTAAGCGGTCGCCATTTTTAAAAGTTGTGTATTTCACGGGAGGAAAATAATTGTGTTTGATTCAGAGGGATATCATTTGGATTTGTTAGTCATACATATTTTTATAAAAAAGAAAATTTATTTAAGGATTGATACAGACAATAAATATTTGTTGACAGTTGTGGAAACATTCAAAAAACAGCTAGGAAAATGGTAAACTTGGAAGCTGGCTCAGGAACGCAGGGTTGTTTACTTATTCTTCGGCTGATGGCTGTCATTTCTTTTCAATTTTTTATAAAGCATACGGCAGTTATTGCTCGTAGGATACTTTAATATGCCCAAATGTCATCAAGAGCAGTTTTGCATGTGGAAGGAATGTATTTTTCAGACTGTAAAAATGAAAAAAAAAATAGAGACGAAATTTGGCGATTGGAATTCGAATGAATAGAAGTAAGTTTTCTTCTTTTTATTACTTTTTGACATTTAGGTTATTTATCAATTTCAGCTTTGCTTTTTCTTTAAACAACCTGATATTGTCAGAATTGTCAGAAAAAAATAAAATTGAGGTACCACATGGGAAAATCTTAAAAACGTAGTTTCGTCATTGAAAAGTGTGAAATTATATTTTGATACATTTCACTGTGGAATTATCAAATATAATTTTCACGGATAAATCAGTAATCCACTGAAAAGCATAAGATAAATATGTATGATCTAAGCAATTATCAGATTAATTTTCCCATTCCACACTGCAAGCTTATGTCTACAATATTATGATTTTGGTCTGTGTCTGTTTCCTTTTCAGACGGGGCTTTCACAGCATATATGCAGGCAGATGAAACCTTATTTGCTTTCAGCTAAAAGTGTTGCTGTTGATACAGATGTCGATGCAGAGGAAGGGGCCGGTTTCAAAGAAAATACTTGACTTGGCTCCATTTAAGATATGACCAGAACCTTTTTACTACCAAGTGGTAAGTGGTCACTATCCCAGAAACTCTTTGTTGCTATCTCTAGTGTTGTAAATTTAACGCATGGCTGCATCAAATGAGAGGCATGCTCCAGCAATAGCATAAAATTATTTCTTTTTTTTTCTTCAAAATTTTGAAGCAGCCATGCAATGTTGGGTGAGTAGAGTGGCCGTCTATAAAACAGACGACTTAAAGCTCCGTCATCTAATGCAGGCACAAATACAGACATGTTTCCAAGAATGCCTAATCCATCCTAAGGGTGATTCAACAGTATTCAAGTGAGGAATACTGGAACCACCAAACAAGAAAATAGCCGAATAGAAAGAACTAAATTACCACAAGCACAGCAGTTATGTCGTGCTCAACGATCTTTAAGGATCGAAAATATAGCATCTCTGATTGAATGTACCTAAACCTACTACAAATCTGAATTGAACGAAATGCATATAATGATCAATCAGTAAAAAAATCCTCCTGTTTGGAAATATTGCACGATCAATTGTGGATAGAAAGACAGGCGGTGCTATAGTGAACGTCTCTAGTGCATCTACATGTACTTTTCATGGACTTGAAGAACATACTGTATATAGTTCGACAAACGTCGCTGTTGATAAAATGACATAAATCATGGTCCTTGAACTTGGGCAACATAAGCAAGTCAACTACATTTTAAGATGTAATTAAGCTTCTGATGACATGCCAATTTCATTTAAGATCCAAAAAGGTCTTCGTAAAGCCTTTGTGCAGTCTAACCAAATGTTGCAATATCTATTCATTGATGCAAAATTCTTTGCTTGTCAACTTTCCTTATTGAGCTCAATATGGACAAAAGGACATGATAGCCTTGAATAAATATATTTGAACATCTTATTTTTTGTGTAATTCAGATCCGTGTAAATGCAGTGAATCCAACAGTTGCCCTCACAGATATGGGTAAGGTAAGATGGGGCCCTTATTATAGCGATAATTCTAATGGGAAGATGTGTAGGTAATATGTTTTAATCACTTCATTTATTAGAGTCTGGACTTTATATCGGACAATTCACTTATCCTATGATTGAAACATAATTTGCAGTAGATAGATATACTCGGTTGTGTAAGTCCTCCATTGTCACGTTCTTGCATAATGAGATATGTTCTAGAATATGTATTGCTTATTTTGTTAATAGGGCATCCGTGGCCGAGTGGTTAAGGTCGTTTACTTCAAACCACTTGCCCCGCACCGCTGTAGGTTCGTATCCCGACAAGGACTTTGGATCCTTTCATATGATGAAACTATCCAGCTAGCTTACTACTCAAGTGTCCGTTCGTGCCTGGAATAATGTACGGAAAGGCACCTGATGTCTTCCTCCACCAGTAAAGCTGGAACGTCGTCATATGGCGTATACTGTGTCGGTGTTACGTAAAACCAATCATTCAATTTTTTAATATATCAAAGACTAAGCAGTGTACCGTATTGAGCAAAGTCAGACTGAATGATTGTGCGGTTTGTTTGGCACGGCTTTTTTCTTGTATCATTGCTAATTACATGTGTCACTGCTCATTTTTAGTGTCACGGCTAAATTTTTGTACCACGTCCTTGCTGTCATTCCTATTTTGTTCGTAATCTTTTACTGTCTCAAAGACTGTTAGATATTTTCTCTATAGTCATATTTGATACATTTTTTAATTACTTGTGTCTGGAGGCTGCGTCCTGTGAACGTTGCCTTTGCCTTGTTGATCTTTATTCTCGTTTTTTAGTTTCCTTTTTATATTGATTAATTCATTATGGAGTTTATATTCATTTCCCATGATGATATTTTTTCAGAGGTGTCAGAAATCTTGGATTCCATAACGTTTCTCTTGAGTGACAGAGTAACGATGATCCACGGAATTACACGACCAATAGAGGGTGGGTTACTTACGGCCTAAATGTTTGTACTAGTAAATTAGCAACTAGAACCCAGAACAAAACTGTTAATCTTACTTACTTCGTTAATTATAGATGCATTATAAATATTATTTGAAACATAATATTGCTTAGAATTAGATTGATTAATCATTATTGATTCTTAATTTGATGTAGCTCACCTCCAAATGTGGAATGCATTTATTTTAATTAATTAGGAAAATATGGTAAACAAGATCAACAAGGAAAGGTGGTGTTCAATGAAAACATCTGTCGAGTATATAAAAAAATCAATACCGCTTTTAAGAATATTAAATTGTGTTCCAGCGAAATTACCTATAACATTTCAAATTATGTAGGAATTGCCCTTTCATAATGTTATGAATGTTTAAGGAAAATGATGCATAAAACTAGTCACCTAGATTGTGAATATTTTAACATTTTTAAACTCTTAACATATGTTGCTATTTTTTTTTTTAATTTCTTTACACATATTGAGGGATGCAACTTTAACACTAAATTTTTATATATTGGTATAATAAGATAAGATAATCCTAATAAGATATTTAAAATATTTCACGCAAAATGATGAATATTGTGTTTGTTTGCTTTCACATGTGGCATCGAACTGCATATATCGTTTGTGTAATTTGTGTGTATAAGGATAAGATGGGTAATGAAGTAATATCCGTCTTCAGGTTAGCGTGTAGAGTTTTATTTTCCTTTTCTCTCAAGTTTGACACATTTGTAGTCTACTTAGGTGCCCGTTCTTGTCTGTTATTATTATGCAATATGCATAAAGGGGCATCTGAGGTCTTCCTCTGCCAGTAAAGCTGGAAAGTCGCCACATAACTGACTAGCACATGCGACCAGTGCAGACCGAGAATATAAAATAATGATTAGTTCTGTTCAAACTGAAAACTAGACAAGTTCATTTTAAATATATAGCAAAGTTAGGATTAAATCAAAGTCCCTTATAATATACAATGAACAATTCCAAGCAGAAAGCAGGAAAGTTCTACTGGGTTAAATCTGCTCATCAAAAGACTTACATTCTTTACTCCTTACATCATGCAATTCTGATCAAGCATTGTCTGTATACAAAACGGTTTATTCAAGTTACATATGCAGAGTAAATATTCCGGAGATGCACAACAAGTAAACCTGAGTGTGATTTGGCGTTTGAAAATTGATACGCTTTTGTTTCACTCACTCTGCATAATAATTTATTCTTTCTGCATCTGTTACAAGACTCGTATAGATTAACTAATCTATACATCTCACAATTAATCATAAACTGTTGCCAATGGTGTAAAAACATAACATTTTGACAGCTCAAAATATACGGTCTCATATCTTCTATATTTCGTTATGGTTTAGCTGAAAACGACTCAAAGATATTGATACAACCATGTGGAAAAAAAGTTTCGTGAAGGAATATACAAATCAATTATCCATTTAAACTGATGATGTATTATTCATGATGCATTTTTGTAAAGCAAGTCATTAGATTACGACCAAGATCTTATTTCACGTTTCAAAATTTTAAAAGCTTTTTAACAGAGATCATTGTTAAAAGACATTGTGTGCAAACAATTTCACGTCTATCTACATAAGCATGTTTATAACTTTGCAACCTTGAACATGTGGCTTGCACATGATATATTTTAACGTCTGCGGTACAGAAAATGGCACATTTTACAAGGAGCAACCAGAATGTACCTAGAACGATGACGCTATTTCCGTACTAGCTACATTTAACGTTGTTTCTTAGCTAACAAGAGTTTCATGCTTCCAATAAATGTCATTATATCTCCAATTCATACTGTCTATCGGGTCCAATTGTTGGTTATTTGACACATCATAAGGAATGAAACCACGTTGAGTCAACTTTTCGGCCATCTTTTTTATATTATTTGGCCCGCATGCGACACCATAACGATATTTCTCTGACGTCATTTTACTCCATTCTGTCATAACATACTTAACGCGGAATGTGTCAAATATGACGTCCGAGTTTTCTATGGCTCTGCATTCGTGTCCCTCTGAAACAAATCGAACTTAAAATATCATTTTCATATCTCAAATGTAGATGGCTACCTCTTCATTTAATACTTTAAAGATAAACGTGCAATATGTAGTATTTGTAGTATATAAATATTATGCTGTATTAATGACAGTTTGCAATTGATATATTTATTTTCAATTTTGTAGATCTATATTGAGATCTGCCTATAAGTAATTTACATTTGTCATTATAACAAGGTAAGGACATGCAATACAATTGAAACATTTGACAAAGTTTAAAAATGTACCTAGAAATATATAGATATATAAAGATATTAATTCTTTTTTGGATCTTACCCACGTCAATTTTTATCATGACGTCTCTAGTATGAATGAATTGAGTCAAATCGTCTAACACTATGCTGGATATTGAAATTGCATTTGTATTCAATTTATATTCTTTTTCTGTCAAAATTCTTGCAGCACCTTGGTTGTTGCCACTTGGTAAGATCAGACGCAAATGTCCACGTGTGTTGGAAACAACGTTTCTTAGAACAGTTATTTTCCCATGAAAATTGTTTAAATTAACAGCGTTTGCGAATTTTAATAAATTTTCTTCAACAGGTTCGATTGATAGCACGTGATGTCCAAACGCGGCAGATAGTAAACTAAAGTAACCAATGTTAGCACCAATGTCTATTACAGTCATATTCCTGTTTCGCTGTAGGACAGCTTGGAATAGTTTTGTCATTTTTGGTTCCCATATTCCACTTGAAAGTAATGACTTTGATATGAAAATATCTTGTGACGTATGAAATATGCAAATGATGAAAGGGACGTCAGTTTTTGTACGAAGGCAAGACGATTTGTCAGATCTCTCTGTGTTGGAAATGTTGTAAATTTGTATCTTTGAGAAGAGACCTCGAAACAAATTCGCATCTAGGATTAATACCAGCAGTAATGTACCTGAAATATAGGCAAATTTTCATTCAGTGAACATGTTTGATTGAATTCAGCTACAATGCTTTTCAAAAAAGTAATTTCTAGGCATGCTATAACGTTACTAGAATGTATTACACGTAGTTATGTTTTGTTTTCCCAGTAGTAAAACATTTCACTACTGAACTATCACCTTCTCACAGTATACTTAAAGGTCTTATGCTTCCTTGCATGGACAAGAGTGATGGAAGTGATTAGAATATTTTACTGTCTAAGAAATAAAAAACGTTACAAGAAAATGTCCATTAACACGTTACAGCAGAATGGAAACATTGGCCCACTGTGGTAACACAATGTTGAAGTGCGTTTGTCAAGTTACGCAATTACATGATTGGTAAGTGACGTAATTGGCTAGTTACTGTGATGCAAGGAAAGCGCTTGTCACGCTATACCGTATTTACGAAGTTGTTTCATTTCAAAGAGCGTCGAGAAATCGCAAATTTTCGTGTAGCTGGAAACTTCATAGAGCTCTTCGTCACGGTAATCGAGGCGTTGCTACGGAGCTTCCATGGCGTTCTACATCGTTCTTAATGGGTTAATGTGTTTTAATCGGCGATTTTCTGCGTTCGTACGGCACATGCAGTGCGTACTCAGCGTTTTCTTGGCGTTACACTGCGCTTTTAACGGGGCTCTAAAGGCCCTTTAGCGGCGTTGACACACATTGTGCTGACGGCGTTTCCACTACATATTAAACAAAATGTATGAACAAATCTTCATCACTATTTTCTTCAACAGTAAACCACGCCTATCCAGCCATTGTCAAACCCAGATCTTACTATGTCGGTTGTTCTCCTTCTCCGTACGTCGTCAAAGAATGATATTAACCACACCTGCATATTCGTGTAGGCAGGTGGTAGTTCGTATTGTTGTCGTTCAACATCCATGGTGAAATGTTTATTTGCATACCTAATTCCATCATTGGTGTTATTTCGTTGAAAACGCCAATCAACACAAAATAATCGCCTTGAGAGCGTAATGGTTGCTGAAAGAGCTCGTTTAAAAAGTTAAAACTACGTAAAAGTGTCATAGACGTGCAGTATATGCACAGTTGAAACGCAGTGACATCTCAGAGCACACCGTATAATCTCCGTAAAAGCGCCACGGATAACCTCAGCGTTCGCACTACGACTTTTGTGCGCTTTCGCTGCTGCGTTATATGAGATCTTTCCCGGCCGCTTCGGTGTTCTTACGGTTCTCTTATTATAACGCCGAGATACAGCTGCTTTAAGCATGCTCAAAGTGTGAGAAACCGCGGTCGGCGTTCTTTGCGATGCCATTAAAATGCTTGCACGGGCATTTTAATTTTTTCTAGGACGCTGTGAGAACACAGCCCTGGTGTGACAGGGCTTTAACACAAAAACTATTTTTAAAGAGCGCCTGTAGTAACGACGCTGACCACCTAGTTATGCAGTGGTGTGACTGAATATTGAAACAATATCGTTCAATACAAACGTTTGTCTAGCTACGTAATAACGCTATAACGCCATGACATTTTACAAGAGAATGTTTCGTTTTGACTTGACTTTCTAATTATTAACGCAATGACGTTTCAAAAGGTCGTGTTTTTTTCTATTTAAGCAATGACGGACCATGCAGGCTTGTTACGCGCTGGCCTTTCTGGCGAGTAACATTATGGTGTGTCGAGATAATAACGCAATGTCGCTTCTGGTTAGAAACGTATTTACGTTTTAGAAGACAGTCAATGAGTTACATGAGTAACGCAATTACGGTTTACAATAGCGTCTGTTTAGTAACACAATTGCTAGCATATCAGGCATGATTTTCTAGTGTTTACACCTGTGTTAGTAAATCCCTATTCCACGTGAGACAAAAAAATGGAAAAAGAGTGATCCCTCGGAAGCATTAATAACAACAAAATTGCATGAAAATTGCAGACTCGGTTTGATTAGTCACGTGCTTTAAATGACTGCTCGCCTTTTATGAATGAATTGCATGTTCGGGATGTTGTCAATTTGCCGTACAAGGTTACGAATGAAAATGTTAATGTACATATTTAATGGTACTACTATTATTGTAAATGGTACTATAAGAAAGAAATGCTGTGAGAAAACACAAGTTTTCTTATTTTCTTTCCGAAATATGACTTTTTATATGGCAAATGCAAGAAAAATATTGAACATTTCACTAGTATCGCATGCCGTCACATACAAGAATATACAGCTCTTCGCAAAGATATAGTTCGGTTGGTACCGGTTCTTATATAGGGTTACATATTTAGTTCCTAAACGATGTCTTAAAATTAAAAAGTGCTTCGCTTTTCTTTAAACTTCACATAGGCGAACCCGGTCTACATGTACATATATGCGTATTCGAGCTAATACTTCTGAAAGAGGAAAATGATAAACAATACATTGTATACAAACCGGTAAGTATAGCAGAAATATAAATGAAAATCCTTTTGAATTTCCGCATTTTGTTCTCATTACAACACAGATAATTCCTTTATAAAATCATTATCCAACTTTCGTGTACTTTGAATAAGTTTCCCGTTGAAATCAGATATAGTGAATAAAGTGTTTATGTAACCAGGTGCTGTTTTCAATTGAAAATGATACAATGCTCCGCTGATATTAACATAAAAAATGAATATTTGGCTGTGTAATCCAGATGCCGGTAATAATTCATTTGTAAAGGAATGAAAGAAACAAAAAACTTAATTCGTCTACGGAATGGTGCATTAAGCGAAACGCTGGCATGATGCATTGCAAAATATAACTTTTCAAGAGCTCATTAATTTAACATCAGCGGAAAAAAGAACTCTAAATGTGAAAACCACTCCAACCAGACTTTAAAGATAATTGTCTAAACTGTATGCGTAATCTTTATGTATTCTCCAAACTTGATCAAAATAATTATATATTAAGAGGAATTTTAAAGCAAGCGAGATTGTAGTGAAGAAATTGATTTTTAAGCATTTTAAAACAGTTTTATCTTTAAGTATTTATTTTCGTATACTATTTATAGGTTCAAACTAAGGAATATTTTATTTTTTTTTAGAACTGCCAGATAAAAATCTTTAATTTAGATAGTTGTTAAGAATAATTGGAATGAAAATTTAACATATGTTCATGCTTAATAAGAAGGGAAATCTAGTTTTATGAAAACATTTATTAAAAGTTCTAGAAACTACTATTTTTCATCCCGTTACTAAGTTATATGAATTGACACTCACATGAGATTTGTTAACAAGTTGGGTTTTTTTTTTTTTTTTTTTTTTTTTTTTTTTTTGGGGGGGGGTGGTGTTGTTGGTTTTTAAAGAGATAAAAGAAAAATGTTGTGGTTTACGTAACAAATGAGATACCTTTCGCAAATGAGATATTTCGAATATGCTTCTGGTGAGACAAACAAGAAAAACGTAGATCATCTATGCCAACATATCATTCTAATTTTAACTACGGAGAAAAGTAAAAAGCCTTTTCTTACATAATGTTTCATTGATTAATATATACTTTTTAGCGACTGCTACATTCGTTAGAGATATCTGTTACAACACTCCATTTTATCAAATATTTTCCAAACTGTGCAAAATATATTATCTTGACAGCTCATGTCAGTTAATTGAATTCCTCATCAGCCTGAGAGTTGAATGTTCGCGTCAAGAATAACTCTATTTTGGAACATTGTGCCGAGCCGAAAATGTTGCAATTCCGCCAATGTACGGTACATGTAATCATCTACTGTTTACACCGGTGCTAATTAAACCCTGCATATCAGACTGGTTCCACCCATACTAGAAATTTCATTTGGCATCAGGTTGGGGGCAGGGGCTGAAGATGTGTCGCGTGCCCCAAAATGCCGTCATTTTTTATCAATTTTACAATGAACTGCGTTCTTAAGATGACGTCATTTCGCCGTTTCTCCTTCAGAATGAAGTTGTTAGTCTATAGATCTACATGCACCACTGTAAGACAAAAGTAACAGATGAAAAACATTATTTAAGTTATTCATAAAAATATGGAAGGAAGAATATGCAAGAAATGTCATAAAAAGTCTTCTTTTTTTCTTACATCGGCTGCCGGACTGCCGGGACAGACGGGAACATCTAGCTTCAGGTTAATTGTTAACAAGACCGTTAAAATATTTACCCGCAAGCTAGATATTCGCGTCTCTGACGACAGCCAGTGTTTGATTCATTTTCTTGCATATAACATATTAACCATATTTCAAAATGAGAAACGAAAATTAATTGTTTAATTGAGCATTGACGTTTCTTACACAGGAGTGTAAAATCACCGGTTTAAACAGTTACTGTAGATAATCCTGTCTGATTTGCAAGAAATTATCAGACTTACACTCCCTCACTGCACAAGCACACAAACTTTTTAACATGACTATAACTTGCTTTGTTACACTGTCGCACTGAAAAGCAGGATATCTCTACTACTTCTACAATTCTTCGTACCAAAATGGTTTGCGGTTGTGTCGACTTTCATATCTAATCACGTTTCCCCTATAACGTGCCCTCAGCACGTAAGTGCTCAATGTATATAATACGTTTGAGTCGAATGAGCTTAAGCCTAAAGGAAAATAATTGCAAACACTTATTGAACATTCTTGCTTAAATATATATATATGTCTCAACAATACTTAATGAGCGTTACTTTTTTGTTCTTCTGTTGAGATTTAAATTGATATTTTTACCTTTAGAAATAGTAACAAAAACTTCTATGAAGCATACGAGCTATTGGTCAAGGGCGATTACCTTCTCCAAACGAAGTTTTGAAGCCTTGGTAAGGCTGGTACGGTTGTTCCTCTTTTATAACGTCACCTCTAAGATTGAACCTTGTTCTGCAAAAGTAGAATACATCCTCAATGGTATGCGAGTTTGTCCTAAACTATTGTTGGTTCAAAGGACTGTTAGTTTGCTAGTTAACTAGTTGCTATAGTAGTGATCAGATGAGATCGAAACTTTCGAGAGTGATTTCTTGGTTGCTGCATATTTAAAAGACAAGAATAAAGATCAACAAGGCAAAGGCAACGTTCACAGGACGCAGCCCCCGACACACCAAAGTAGGGCCTAGAAGGCACCAAACCAAAACCCGGAGCGTACATATATCTCTTAGCATATATCTCAAATATCTCTTAGCAATCAATTAGAATAGTGAAACGCCGGAAAATTGTTATCTACATGTATGTCTCTGGTTAAAAGACATGTCTAGAAGTCTAACATTTTTCATATAATAACAATTACCTTCTGCTGTTTAGACCGGCTTGAAACATACTGACGGCCTGAACCTTTGTTGTAAAGACATTTTAGCCATCTCAAATATAATAAGAACGACTTTTCTAACAAAAAAGCATCGAGAAACACAGAGCATACTCGAATATTTGAATAAATGTTAACATGTACATGTATAGGAATGAGCTTTGCACAATCAACTGAATGAAAAGCAACTTAATACAAGTCATAAATTTAAGAAATATATATAAAGGGAGTATTAATTATTATTTATACGCATGCTGAGGAAGTTATCGTTGCAGATAACTTATCTTTTTAGGCCATAATAATACTTCTTTTGATATGAATTTGCTAGATACCGTGCATTTGTGAATTCAGAAAATTCAACTTTCATTTTTAATTGTTGTTAATTTCATTATGCTTGATCAAAAAGCAAAAAATAAAATACCAGTTAATTGCAAAATTATTATGCTATTTATGTTACAAATTAAATTGATATCGATCTATTACTTTAAGAAATATGCACATAAATGTACGTACTGGTGTTTAAGTTAGTAATTTGATAAGGGTACTGAAGATCGCATATGAAGCACTGCAAATATATTCATCTCCTAAATATCCTATGACCTTTATATCCGAATAGTTGCCTACCATAATTTAGTTGCAAGTTCAGATAAGTGTCTTGAGATTTTCTCAGATTAATATGGTTATTATTGATCGGAAGGCCTCTGGTTGGGCAGTACTAAATGAACAATTTCAATCAGTCTTCACATCTAAATCCCCTGTTTCTCTTAAATTCCTTGCTGATATGAAAGTACAGGATCAGGCAGATACAGGTAGAGAGGTTCCCCACACATCATTTAGCCCCCATAACCCCATGTGTGATATTGATATCTCTGTAAAAGGTGTTGAGAAGCTCTTAAAAAACCTTAACCCCCATAAGGCTGCAGGACCTGACCAAATTAGACCCATAGTGCTGAAAAATACCAGTAAAGAATTAGCCCCTATAGTGTCCAAACTTTTCCAAAAATCACTGCAGTCCAGCACTCTACCAGACATCTGGAAAATGGCGAATGTGGCCCCTGTCTTTAAAAAAGGTAGCAAGTCAGACCCAGCAAACTATCGCCCTATCTCTCTTACCTGTATCTTGTGTAAAACCCTGGAACACATTGTCTCCTCCAGCATAACAAAGCACTTTACTAGATCAAACTTGTTCTATGAATTGCAGCATGGTTTCCGAGAAAAAAGGTCATGTCAATCCCAACTATTAATGCTTATAGATGATATCCTACAGTCAGTAAATCAGAGAAGCCAAGTAGACTTAATCCTTCTTGACTTCTCTAAGGCCTTTGATATGGTCAACCATGAAAAACTCCTGTATAAGCTGCATTTCTACGGTATAAGGGGTCAAACTCTTAAATGGATCAAAGGTTTTCTTGATAACAGGTCACAGTCCGTGGTGGTAAATGGCTCCACATCCAGCTCCATACCAGTCTCCTCCGGTGTTCCCCAGGGCTCGGTCCTCGGACCTCTCTTATTTCTTATATACATCAATGACTTTCCTGAATATGTCCAATCCTCTAAAGTCCGCCTATTTGCTGATGACACGGCCATCTATCTATCTCTGACTGTCGCTTCTCATTCTAGCTTACTGCAACACGACTTACACCAACTTAAACAATGGGAGACAAAATGGGACATACAATTTAATCCATCAAAATGCACAGTTATCCAAATCACAAAACGAAAAACAGTCATTCCAACACAATACCTTCTACATAACACCACATTAGAAACAGTCTCATCTGCAAAATACCTTGGCATTACAATATCAAATGATCTAACATGGAACAAACACATAAACAACATCACAACAAAGGCAAATCAAACACTTGGTTTTCTACGCCGAAATATCAAGGTTCACCCAGAAAGGTTAAAGTCAACTGCATACAAGACACTTGTTAGGCCCCAGCTCGAGTATAGCTCCACGGTCTGGTCCCCCTACACAGGAACTCTCATTGACCAGATAGAGTCTGTCCAGAGAAGGGCTGCTAGGTGGGTCAAACATGACTTTGGCCGTATGTCGAGTGTCACTGACATGTTGACTTCCCTTCAATGGAGGCGCCTTGACCTTCAGCGTAGTGACCAACGCCTGGTCATGTTTCACAACATCTTGCATGACCAGGTGGCTATCCCTTTTCCAAAATATATCGTCCCTCTTAAAAGATCATCAAGAACATCCCATCCCCATGCATTCCAACAAGTCCAAACAAAAACTGATTACTATAAATATTCATTTTTCCCAAGAACAATAGTCCACTGGAATGCTTTACCACCTGATATCATGAACTTGTCTGGCCCCGAGTTCAGTCTGGCTGTTAGCCGGATTGAACATACGTCTCCCTAAAATACCTTCTCTATTTTTAACCTGTTTTTAACAATTTACTCATTTCCATTACTTTTATATTCTTTTATTTCAGTTCTTTTACTAACATTCTTGTCAGTTGACGCGCGTCAAGTCTAGGTCCCCAGCAGGGGTTTGACTATATGGAAGATAGATACCCATATGCATAAAACCTTGTGAAGGGAGTTAACTCGTGTACGACTATTGTAACGGGAGGAAATCGGCTGCAATCGCCTGACACGACCAAGATCAATTCGCCATTTTTGTCTTCCGGGAGGTAACAAATTTGACACACAGATTTCAAAACGGATTTTCATGTTTTATAAAAGATATATTGTTATATTCACTGTTATACAATATTGATTTATGCCTACGTGAATTTCTGGTATAGGATTTAGTTACTTTAAATGTTGATCTATAGAATTTGATTGCAAAAAAAAAAATTGAATTCAGGAACTTCAGAATCTGCCTTATTATCTGGTTATTTTCAGTGTTAATTTCAGTGTTTTTTATTAAAACTCTATACAGTATAGACCTAATGCACTTGTTTTAAGGAGATTATGTAACCTTTGTTAATGACATCAGCTTTGATGTGAGTGATCAGGTGTGTTAAACTGTATGTGACTGATACACAAAAAACAATATGGATTCAAAGAAATTTTCATCACCTCAAGAAGAAATAACTTTCTGGAGAGAGAAAGCAGAGAAGTTTAAACAAGAGTAAGTACTAAATGATATGAAAGTACGCAAAGCCTATGGACGGAGAAGTCGGATATAAATAAATTAAATATGTTTTTTTTTTTAAATATTTTTCATAATTTGAAATGTCTACGTCCCTGCGAGGGGTTTGATAGTAACAGAAGGTAGATAGATTGAAGGTGTCATTCGCTACATGTATTTCCGTTTTCAATGGGGAAAACCTCAACGATTATTCTTAAGCAGGAGAATTGGGGTTGTTCTGGTTTGGAATACGGCAACTATTTTCATTCAAACATTTAAATTGGTGGTGCCCAACTAGAAATGACACTGAAAATTTTACTGATAAGTAAAGAATTTAGAAATCTATATATATTTTTAATTGTTTTTTATTTAATATCTTTTTAATATACGCATGTAGTCTATTGCTGAGCAAGCCAAAGCCCTGGTCCGCTGTGCAGTCCTTGTCATTGACTTCCCCGTGTAAAAGTTTCGTATAATGTAACTTCCAATATACTGGCATGCAAGCAGTTCCCGTACAAAAGTCGCAGTTACTTAAAAATTACTTTTTTATTACGATAACTCACCAAAAAATTGAATGTTACACATTAATATTTGGCTCGTCACACAAATTATGGAAATTCCATTTTGTTCTAATAATAGAAAAACCCTGAGTTATGAGGCCTCATATGGGGTACCGAAATTATCCATTATTTTGTATGAAGAGAGGTAGTTCCCGTACATAAAATGTAACCCATTATAATTATACAATGGTGTTATATCAGACATATTTTTCATTTATAATTGTTGAAGAGACCATTTTTCCCAGAAGTAAGTTAAAGACGTAATTCAGGATATAGAGGGTAGCCTAAACGCTTGTATCAATAACCCGGTACGTCAACACAATCACAATGGTGTTACTTTTTTTCAAAAGTGTTCTGTAATCTGAATGAATTAATCTAAGATTTTCCAAAAAGGGCTGCACCCTACTAATTAAGGAACTCAAACTTGTTAGACTTAGGCATAATATATACATGTATTTATTTATTGATTAATATCAATTTAACTTGTAAACATCATACATGTCACCCAATTAAGAGCGCTATAGCCCTTGCAGGTCCTTTGGTTGCACAGTCATTTAAATACCATGTATCTTAAACATGCTCTAGTCTATGATTTCTAATTTTAACTACCAACCCCAATCTTTATAATGATGGAATACATGTATAATAATAAAGATAATAATAAAGATAATGGTTTTACTACACAGTGTTCCCTGAGAAACCCAGGAAAATGCTTTAAAACCTGAATCAAGTAGCTTCGTAAAGTTATAATATATGCCTTTGCAAAATTACAATTTCATTTAAATTTGTATTAAAAGTCAATTGAGGCCCTTTATTAGTCAAGTGGTAATTGTGAATTACATTGTACATTATGGGTAACTATATGTAGGTAAGCAGACATCTTTTTAGAGAATAAATTTGTTTTCAGCCAATGTTTCATCATTTCAATTTTGAAAGTACATTGTATGCCATGGATACTGTTATATTGGCTTGTAGGCTATATAGGAATGTAGAAAAATATTTAAGATAAAAGAATAAAAACATATCAGAGCAGCAGGTAGCCCTGTTTTAAATCAAGATAAACCCAAAACATTACAAGTTGTTTTGATTCATGCTCAATGATAGAAGACAAATAAATGTACATATCTATGTCTATTAAATTACATATTTATCTAGATTTCATACAGTTTCAGAAATTCCTTAACTCCTTATCTCCAAGAAATATTGGTCATTTATTTAAATATTTTGACATACATTTATAATTGCATAATGCAGAATAGGTGTATATTAAAATCTATAGATGAGATGGATTGATGAACATGTATAAGTGGTAGGGCGTTAGTTTGGAAATTTAATACATCATCTAAATTCTTGTGATAAAAATGATTGATAAATGACTATTTTTGTACCTAATTTGACTGTGTTAATCACTTTGCAGGATCTACTTTAATTTAATGCTAAATTAGAGTACTGTGAAATTTTTTATCAGTATTTATGCTGTTCATGTAGTTTTACGCCTGATTTAGTGCAAATATAATGTAAACAAGTTTTGCTTTTAATGTTTATTAAATAGTTTTGATGTATTCTTTTCCAACTTCAAACACTTTCCCAAAAATGATTAGCCTGAAAGTTTGAAATTTCATAATTGATCATTTAGTTTATCAAAACTTAATCATGTGAGAGACCTTAATGTTTAACTATATGTTCACTTATTTGCATTAAAGGTCGTAGTAAGTTACTATATTGACATGCAATCAAGAAAGAAATTATTCAATATTTTCTTCACAGTTTTGACGCCTTAAATGTTACTGATATTTGACATCATGGTCAAATTTGAAAACTGTGAAAACGTGCAATGACATCTGCAGATATACGCTAAACATAGCTGCAACTGCTTTATATAGTTTGTTATTTAATGATTTTCCTTGGTGTTAAAAACCCTTTTGATGCATTTTGTCATTTTCTAAGGCTTACTTATCAAGCTTTATAGGGGTTTAGGATTTTACATTAGCATGTATATTCAATAATCAATGACATTGAATCCGTATGTCTGTCATTGGCTAGTAATGATTTTATTGAGGGTAAAGTGTTGAATATTTTGAACACCTTTGTTCTTCACCACTCTTTTCTGGTTTATGTGAAGAAGTTGTCAATAACTTGTGGATCACATGGTACAGAATCCAGAAATACTTGTTTAGTAACTTGTAACACTCTGAGAATCTGTATGAAATGATTATACTGAGTTGAGTTTAACTTATAAATCATGTGGAAATTTAAATTGCAATTTTTAAACAAACCTGTTGAAGAATAAACACTTTATTACATGCATTAATTTGTATCAAAAACAGGTTAAATCAAATCTCAGGTCTGAAGTTATCTTGAATATTTGTAAATCGGTATGGTTGTTCTAAAATAAAACATTTTTATTAAGGGAGGAGTGTTACAAGTTTATATAATCTTTTGTACTCCCTTTATTTATGTTGGTCAGAACTTGAAGACAAAAATTAAATAATTCATTTCAACAGGATTTGTTTTATATATTTGTAACAAAATATGATGCCTGCTGCACAATAAATGGGCCAATTTTTCAAAAATACATGTAATGCAGGCTTTTTCAAAAAATATATTGCATTTTCTATTATTTTTTTGTGTTTTTACAAAGGACTTATTGTAAAGCAAATGTGCCCAAATTTTTTTTGGGATAGCATTACCCAAAATAAAGATACAGACATTTTTATACCCTAAAAAAGTCCATTTTTACATGTAATGTGTTAGCATCTGTTTTTTTGGTGTTTTTAGAATTAACACTACTATTATCTGTTTTAATTTATCACTTAAATTTTTTTACATGCACATAGAAAATTTAATAACCTTTCCAGTGATATATAATACTTCGTATATATCATCCTGGTTTTTATCGTTAAGATGATTTTAGTAAAATCCGACTTCTGTAATGCATCAGTTTTTTCAAAATTCAGTTGTTAAGTAAACAAGCATATCTTTAAGCAATTACAAATAAAATAGTACTTTACTGTGTCAATCTAATGAAATATGAATTAAAAACATATGTTAAATGTTTTCAATTCAAATTTTCAAACATTTTTACCATAGTAGGCATTAAAGTGGTAAAAAAAATTTTGTGATGAAAAAACTGTAACATCCGTCCCCCTCTCATAAAATATCCAATTTTAAAACAATACTCATAAAAAACAATGTTTCTGGTGCTTAATGATAGCCTTACAATGAAAATGTTACAAAAATTGCCAATTTCTATGTTTATGAGAAAAAAAATACAATAATGTAAAAGTTGTCTGTAACATCCGTCCCCGTAACATCCGTCCCCCTATATAAGGTGCTTATTAAATCTCATATAAACTGTAACTGAAAAGGGAATTTTACACTAAAACACCAAAGTTACATTGAAAAATGAAGAAATAACAGAAATAAAGCACTGAAATGATGTATTTATGAAAAAAAAAATATTTGTGAACACTAAATTCCTTAATTTTGAAAAAAAAATCAGTATTTTTTGCTCTGAAATCAAAATTATTTACTTTGAAATAAAATTTATATGTTATTTTTTAACCTCAAGTGGACCAATGAGTTTATTAAGATAATATTTAAGCTTATATGAATTTATAACAAATATAATCTTTTGTCATGCTATGTTTACAAACTAAGAGTACAGAAGGGGACGGATGTTACAGAATTGAACTAAAAATTCTTTTTACAGTAATACAAAACTTATCTTGTTCTTATGATGCATGATAGAGAAGTAGTAAGCTTTGCAACTGTATAGGAATGTTTCACACACCAAATAAAATACAATTTAAAAAAATTTAGAAGAAACAAACAAAAAATCCATAACAGGATATATAGAAAAAGGTGCAAACGATAGAGATGTTGAAAGTATCTTTGTGATTAAAATTGGTCAATTGTTTAAACATAAATTCTTTAGCCTTAAATAGTTAACAATCCATGTATCCCAGCCCCTCATAAAACAGTGGGATATGGATCCTAACTCTATACACACAGAAGGGACTGGCACTTTATTGGAAGTTAACGAGCTGTATATTGGGAGCTGTGTATATTGTATATTGGGAAGTGTGATATATTACAAAACAGTAGGGGTGCCAATTAAGGGTGATATATATTATGCTTAAAAACAGTGGGAGGGACTACCATATCTTATTCAAGAATGTCTGTCATTAAGTATTAAAGTTGAAGATCAATTAAGTCAAAGGATTTATTGAACTTCAAAAATTTATAGGCTAAATATGTAGTCAATGAAAAATAAACAAAGAAATATAATTCAACACCCTGATTAAAATTTTTAGATTTTTTTCCCCCAAAAAACCTCAAGCACATTTTCATACAATTTGACCCATTTAATTATTGTTAATAAAGTGAAAGAAACTTGTAAGTAAAGGATATGGTAAGGATTCCTGTAATGAAAAAGTT